CACGTCAAGAAAATAGAGTTATGTTTCTTTATTCTTTTGTTTGTTGGATGCAATGATGTTTTAGGCAATCTCAAGTTGCTCGTGCAAAAACACACCCACAGCCATTCATGTTAATTTATTAGAGACGTTGATGTCGGATGGAATGAGACAACTAAAAAACTGAGGATATTATGAGAAATAGGGAAATAATGGCTGCAAAAACATATAAACTGAGAGAACGATAGAATGTTACAATTGTACAACGGAAGGAACACTCTTAGAGGCCTTAGACATCACTGCTATGGCTGGCTTGCCTTACAAACCTGATCGCAAATTTAGTAGCTGGAATTATCTCTCTTTGTTTTCTGTCTCGAAATATAAGCTTACAATCAGATTTGTAGGACTTTTAGGGCTATCAAATACATCCTCTTGATGTTTAATACTTCTGTAATTGGTTGATCAGATTTTTATTTCAATTCCAGTTACTGAGTCTTTTCTACTGCTGCTCCCCTTTTCTTATCTTTCTATTTGATTACCATGAACCTCCTGTATACTCTACAGGTGTACGAGTGGATGAATAACAGAGGAGAGAAATATAGAATAACCACCAGTGACACTGCTATTCAGCTGGATCTAATTGCCAAGGTGCATGGCATTTCAAATGCCGAAGAATACTTCATGAAGTCACCAGATGCCTTGAAGGATAAAAGAATATATGGTGCTCTTTTGAATGCATATGTGCGTGCTGGGATGAGGGAAAAAGCTGAATTCTTAATTGGTAAAATGAGAAATAGAGGCTATGCCAGTCATGCACTTCCATTCAATGTGATGATGACACTTTATATGAACCTTAAAGATTATGAAAGAGTAGAGTCACTAATATCGGAAATGATGGAGAAAAACATTTCATTAGATATTTATTCCTACAACATTTGGTTATCATCTTGTGGCTCTCAAGGATCTTTGGAAAAACTTGAACAAGCATTTGAACAGATGCAACTCAACACCACCATCAATCCCAACTGGACTACCTTCAGCACGATGGCTACCATGTACATTAAGTTGGGGAAGTTGGAAAAGGCGGAAGACTGTTTGAAGAAGATTGAGACAAGAATTACGGGTCGAGATCGAATCCCTTATCATTATCTCATGAGTCTCTATGGTAGTCTTGGTATCAAAGAGGAGGTGCATCGGGTATGGAACATTTACAAAGCTACATTTACAACTATTCCAAATTTGGGCTATCATGCTGTGATTTCATCTCTGGTTAGATTGGATGACATTGAGGGGGCTGAAAGTATTTATGATGAATGGCTTTCAGTGAAATCAGTTTATGACCCCAGAATAGGAAATCTTCTATTGAGTTCTTATGTCAGAAAAGGTCTTTCTGAAAAAGCGAAGATATTCTTTGATCAAATGATTGAAGCTGGAGGAAAACCAAGTTGTATTACATGGGAGATTATTTCAGAACATCACATCAAATCCAGGAGGATTTCTGATGCTGTGTCTTGCTTAAAGAATGCTGCTTCAGCGGGAGGTTCAAAGGGCTGGAAACCAAAACCCGTAAATGTCTCATCCATTCTCAAGATTTCCGAGCAAGAAGCTGATATGGCAAGTAAGGATGGCTTACTGGAAGTCTTGAAGCAAGTTGGGTGTCTTGATGATGAAGTTTATATGTCGTATATTCCCCTATCTAATGGGATATATACAGGCAGTGATTTAGCATTAGAGGATGGTCGAAATGATGGTGATGATGTTAATGATGGAGCTAATGTAGTTCTCAGTCAACTCCAGGAAAGCTTGTGAAAAGTGTTTCACCACCCTTGTACAGAGTCAATAATTACTTGCTTTACAAAGAGTGGATATTTGTTATCCTCCTTTGAGGGGGTACATAAATCTATGTTTGCATAGTTATAGGTTTATATTGATGTGTGAAGATTTGTTTGTTTAGCCCTCTCCCTACAAAATTTTGTCGATAATCCTTGAAAATGCTGAATCCAATGCTTTGAATGTTATATGAAGTGTGCTATCATCCCTCGTCGTAACAATATCTCGAGGGCCTAGATGATCTGGCACTCTTCTTGCTTCATCTGGCTGATGCCAAATAAGATAAGATCGAGGGTTTTGGATGAATCTTCGATAAAATTGCATACAAAGTGGAAAGAAAATTGGATGGGCTGTATTTGAGGCTGCATAGGTTGCTGATCTCTGAATTGTGTCTGACATCCTACTCCTCATCAAATGAGACATTCAAAGTTTTGCTTCAATAACATATTTGGTTGTATTGTTATCCTATTGTCATCAAGAGCTCCAAATCTATGGTTAAAGATGCTTGTTGGTGTCATCATTTCTCGTCTCTCTGTGAAATTTTATTCGCAACAGAGATATGTAAAGAAAAATAAAATGGTTAATGTGCTTTTGCGCGATGGGAACCTCTCTCTTGAGCCTGTACTTGCAGCGCTGGCTTCTCTTCCATCATGCGATCAACTTCCTCGATCTTCCGGCTTCCTCAAAAGATATAGTGGTCCATTTCCGAATATTAGGTAGCATAATAGGCTACTTTTGGACAGCCTAACAGCATGTGTTGCATGCCTACATGGGAACTTCCTTGCTGGAAATTAAAATTCTCTAAGATATATAGTATTTCTAAGGTCATAGATACTTTATAGTTCAAGATATTTAGATTTGGTGTTAATGTCTAAAATCTTATCGGGACCCTTATAAACGATAACTATTGCCTAGTCTACACAAAGATCAATTGTCAAATTACTCGGCCACTACACTTATGTTTCAACGATCGATCAGCCTCATGTTTGTTGAGTAGAGAGGACAATGTTTTTAGCTCTAAAAGTCAATCTTCTTGAGAATTAGAAACAATAATCTTATTTCTCGAGAGCAATCAATTAGCAAAAAGATTTAAAAACACAAAATTTATGGAGCGGCAATAATTAAGCTCCACAATTTAAAAGATCATAATATACAAAGATCTTTATAATTTCATAATTGAAGCGGGTGACAAGCATCTAGAAATTAAAAAAAAAAAAAAAATCTGTCGTAGGGAAGAAGCGTGCAGCAGGGTCACAAATGGATTTGGGGCGGTGAATGCGGGCAACAACTGGTTCTTTTGTGTGTTTCTCATGATCTCTTCAATCTTAAAATGTACAACAAATATGAACAACTTGAACAAGTTCCTTACGACATGTTTTTGCTTTTGTTTCACGCTAATTACAACAAACATGCTTGCAGCTTGTCAATTTTATTTGTTTCCCACTCTCTTTACTACTCGATTTCTTTTTGAACTTATTGAAATGTTCTTTTTTCCTTTTTTTTTTCCCGACTCAAGCATGCCACACACTTGCTAACTGTTAAATTGGTGCAATAAACGGTGTTTAGATGGGACTTATTATGGTGCACTGATCGCGATCATGAAACGTTTATGATTGGAGATATATTTTCACAATAAATGCTATAAATTACATAATGGGAGTATTTGTCCAAAAAATCATAATTAAGATTTTCATTTAAAATTGTTACATATTTGCTTATAATGAACTCATAATTCGTACAAACCAATTGCATCCTGCTGTATAATCAGTGACTTGAGCTAATTTTAAACTCTTCTTTTCACTTTCCCTTTATGTCCTTCAGGTTTTTAAAACTTGCACCAATAATTGCTTCGTTCTCATGACCTTATACATAATCCATAAATAAAACTTTAAAATTGAGTTGGCTAAGTACTTCAATATGTACACTCAAGAAGTGAAAACAATCCTTGTTTATATTAATTATTTTAGCTTCTTTTACTTTCCTGATTTTCTTTCTTTTAGTTTAGATTGTATAAAAATGTTATCAATACTTTCAAAGACTTACATGCTACAACCAGATAAGAGAAATAAACGGGTTCGTGTATAATTCTCGTGATATCGGAAAACTAATCCACAAGCGTCCACTTAAGCTGAACCCGTCTAATAAACGTGAGTCTACAGCTCTTGCTCTACCGAAATACTATTTCTCATGATACAAAAGAATTAATCCAAAAATTGTCCACTAAAGCCAAATTGAAATTTAAATACAAGATGTATAAAGGCATTATTAAAATTTGAATTAATTTGGCAAAAAATCTAGTCACTGATCTTAACATGCACACCAGACAATTCACAAATATGATGCCCCTTTTGGATCTCTATTTGGCAACATCATTATATTATGGCTGGAAAAAAAAAACAGCAAATCATGTAATAATGCATTGATGTTGCCAAACAAATGGAAGGCCTAATACTAATTATGCATATTATGAAAATAATAATAATAATTTAAGGTGGGATCCACAACTCTCAGTCACTATTTAACATGTAATCACATGATTAGTATATGCTACCTGCACTTCCCCTTGTTTATCACTTTAGTATCAAAAGAATAAGTAATCAAGATTTCAAGTCTTTGATAATCAATTATTTTTCACTTTTTACAACTTAAGTTCAAATTAAAGAACTGTAAATTCTAACCAAGTCCCAAAAAAATTAGTCAAAAGAGCACCAAAACAGCCTTGGTGGAATATGGAGAAGGACTGTTGACCAGAGTTTGCATTCCTACTAAGTGAAACACTGTAATCTATGTCTAAACTTTTTGAACTAGATATCGCACTTCTCCTTAAGATTGAGAAAAAAAATTGGGTTAAAAGAGTTTTTCTTAATGGCTTAAACTTTTAAATGAAGTTATTCAAATTGCATCGGACAAATAAATGTTTTGAATTCACATCTCGTTGTCGTTCATTCATAAACTGTAGATATGTCAAGTGTTCAGTGAAAATAATGACCTCAACTTGCATTGACTGGGTATTTTAAGAATTAAATTAAATGGTGTAATAATGGGAATATTTTAAATCTGACAGGACATCCTAGCCATGTTCCAAATACCACAAAACTTAAATTACTTGCCAAACTAAATGACCACCTTGGATACAGGTTGTTTGACAGATACACGCACAAAAAGTGAAGACTTGCCTTATATGTTCCAACATCGCAAGTCACAACACATTCATCACTCTTCAAGATTCAAACTAAAAATGGCAGATTTCGAGAGCCCAACAGAAATTCCTAAATTCATCACCTTCCTCTCTTCTCTCCTTCAACGAGTAGCAGAGTCGAACAACGTTATCCTGAGCCTCCAATCCCAGAAACTCTCAGTCTTCCATGGCCTTACCAGGCCAAGTATTTCCATTCAGAGCTATATGGAAAGAATTTTCAAGTATGCAAATTGTAGCCCCTCTTGCTACATTGTTGCCTATGTTTATCTTGATCGGTTTACGCAGTGCCAACCTACTCTTCCTATCAATTTTTTCAATGTTCATAGGCTGCTAATCACTAGTGTCATGGTTGCTGTAAAATTCATGGATGATGTGTAAGTTTCCTTTTTATTTCCCTAAAATGTTATTGCTTTGTTTATTTTTGAATAATGGATCGATTCCTGAATTATGTATCATGGGTTGATTTTTCCAAAGACTTCTGAATTCTGCAGAAGTTAATTAACTACAAGATTTTTCATTTCTCTAATTAGTAGAGATTTATGATTAACCTATTTTTTCCTCCCGTTTTTAACTTGATTTCTTGATCCTACCAATAATATCAATTAGGTCCAGATATAAGAAACAAGCCATTCTATTTATTTCCTTATTTGTATAATACACTTTGGTGTTCAAAGACAGCCACTCATTTTATTGGCTTTTAAGGGTCTTTATCTAATATTCATAACTGAAAGTTACAATCTTAACATCTAAACTTTTCAGATATATTATAATGAAAACTAAATTGGACCATAAATCTAAATCTTTTAGATGAATATATTTCAAAACTTTTGTATAGAATCTAATGGAACTTTACCTTTTTATGTATGGATTTGAAAAATACAGGTATTATAATAATGCTTGCTATGCTAAAGTTGGAGGAATCAGCACAACTGAGATGAACTTTCTTGAAGTGGATTTTTTATTTGGATTGGGATTCCACTTGAATGTGACTCCCACTACTTTTTACAAATATTGTTCTTACTTAGAGAAAGAAATGATGATGCTTCAGCCAAAGATAAATATGTCAGAATCCTCCTTATATATGGGAATTTCATCAAAACTTCACTTGTCTTTCAGTGAAGATGAATCATCCCATCATCAACAACAGCAACTTGCTGTTTGAGATCAATGCTTTCCTTGTTGTAGTTAAGTTGATTAGACATATGGAGCAGCAAATTAAAAACCCTCATTGTATTAGACGTTATTACATATTTGGTATGAAGTATTAGCAACAAATATCCGGAGTTTCTTTTTGTGTATTATATGAATGACTCAAACTGCGAGGCCATGATTAAGGTTTTATCGCCTATCTATGAGAAAGAGGTAAAATTGAACCAACTTGACAAAAGGATCTCAGAGTTAATTGTTTGATCATCATAGGTCATTGCAGTCTTTTATGTCCTAAACTAATTTTTTAATGCATCAATTACACTTGGGTATTGTGCTAAAGAGTACTAAAGTTGAGACCTTAAAAAGTACAAGTCTGCAGATCAATAGCGACGCAAAAACTCTAGTGTTTTTTTTTTTTTTTTTTTATATCTTTTTGGTACCAATTTCTAATGAAAAAATGTCAAGTTTGACCCATTACAGACCCTATACATCTCTTCTATACACATAGCAAAGCTCAATGTAATAAGACAATAGAACTAGTTCAAATAGTACTTATTTGTTGGAATTTACTCTAGAAGAAAGTGAATTATTATTATTATTATCATTATTTTTTTTTCTAGATTACTGAATGTTGCATATATAAATAATGAATCACACAGGCATTTAAAGCGGAATACTTGCCGTGGATGAATTCGCTAAATTTCCAACTTGATGATTTCTTGAATTTGCCTTAAAACCTCGAGTCTTTTTATATCCTCCAAGTTCAGATTGGACATGATGAGTGAGCACCAAGATCTGATCAAAAATCCAAAAATAAGAACCTACTTCAAGAACACAAGACTAATTAGTTCTTAAAGATCAAGAAAACTTGTTTTCAAAAATTTCTAAAACTTCAAGCCCTTAAATATATTTGAACAAGTCTTGTTTCCTTATTCAAGAAAGCTTAGGTTATTATTAATTTGGAATTAAATATAAGGATTTGACATATTTCTCTTAACAAAGTTGACTTTTTAAGATGGAACCTGAAATCTTTATACCATGAACAATAAGTACATCTTAACCAAGCGTTGTGATATCCGAAGTCCTTGGACTTTTTATCAAGACACATTTAGAGTGCAGAATGAAAATAAAAATTGGGTATATCAGTATCCATCAAATTATAAGAAGCTGATAATTTATAGCATGCTCCTCATAGACTGAGATAGCTAGACAATGATAATGAAATAAATGAAATTAAAATGTTGTGCAATGTACTGTTCAATACTACATGCAAAATCAAACATGGCATTAGGCTTGGTAGCTGGTAAGCCAAACAAACATTATTTGGAAGACATTTTCTTTTTAACCTTCTTCAAGAACTGAATGACAAAAGGCACATCAGCAGTACGTAAAATATATCGAAATCTCATGGATTTATTAGGCGCAATGGCAAAAATGGCCAATGCATAAGTTGCAAACATAGACAAAAAAGTAGCAACCCACACTTCAAATAGAAAGGGACTCCATAACGAATAATGAGTCATTTGTGTGTAGATATGTATCAATTAGCATAATCAATTAAATGACATAAACATAATTCAGCAATAACATAAAAATAAGAATGGAGTTAGAAAAGCAAGCATTGGAAGTCACGTCGAAAACACTCTCTTAAAATCGTGTTGTCTTCTCTTTGTGTAGGTTCTTTTGGCATTATACGATTTTAAGATAAAACTCATGTGGCTGGTAACCAGTTCTCTTTTTATGGGGACGACAATAAGGAGATAAGTAAACTAACCTTTATCAAGTTGCTAAAAGTATAAGAATATATTATGAATTGCATAGAATGTTTTTCTTCTAAATTATTGTATTTAGTTCCACTTTTCAATGAGATATAAACGCCTTTCATAGGTGAAAATTAACCCCCACAATTAAACCATTAAAATATAAGCTATAATATGAATTATGATGTTTTAATTTGTGTTAAAGTTGATTATTAAATAAAAAAAGAAGAAAATTAAATGGTTTAAATATTGAAAGGTTAAAACTTTATTTTTTATGTTACAACAATCCCTCACAAATTTTAAACTTTCAAAATAGATAAATATATAATATATAGTGGCAATGTTATATCGTGCAATAGGTGTAAGTGTCTTTTGGACTTGAACCTCACTTAGTAATAAAAACTTCCATTTAAGGGAACCATAATGGATTAAGCCTTGAATTAGGTCCCTTTGGCCGAACTTCAATTGTCCCGCACACATTATCGATTTAGGCTTTAGTTCATAGCAGGTGGTGTTCTTAATGGTCATGTGCTTTAATCTTGATTCTAGTAAGAGTCTCTAAGAAATAGCCTAATCCCATAATCACGGACTCATGACAACTTTTACATAAGTAAGTCCTCCAAGAGTGTACGATCCGCACCTTGTGAGAATTGTCACTTCAGTACTCATTCAGAGTCTACCCTTCCTAGCATCACATTATTATTAGCACCATAGGGATGAACGCAAATAATATAGTGCTATTACAAGTCACGTATACGAGTTGTTTCTACCACATTGAACCTTCTTCATCGGATCTCCAATCACAAAGTTGGGTTACTCCTTCATGGGCTTAAGCTCTTCCCCTAGATGATTTATTATGTCCATTACGGACTATAATTTATTTGATGTCCCTCCTGAACAATAATTTGGTAACATCAATTTGGCATAGCTCTTATTCTCCACTTGTACATCTTCATGTCATCTAAGAACTTTTCAAATATTAAGGTCACATATTTAATTATAATAAGATAAACATGTGAAATTTATAAATTGACTTCTAGTAACTTGTTTTGAAGATGTACATCCATTCAACTCTTGCATTTCACTTGCATGTCTCCAATTTTATTTCAATACTTTACAAAAGTTAGTTTTACACAAAGTATGTAAGGTGCATCTATTTCAAATTTTTAAACACCCCCACGTTTCAAAGATATGATTTTTTAAAAAGAAATTTAAACACAATAATTCATTACCAAATAATGCACCAATATTCATAAGTCACAAATATAACATTGATCTTTATAGTCGACTGAGACTATGCGAATATCAATCATAAATGCATAACCTATTAATACATACACATCACATATATGAATGACTATATTAAATTATTAATTATCATCATCGAGGTTATCAAGTTGATGTCAATGTTCATTTAGCGCACACATATCCAAAATTTTTAATACCACAACTTTTGGAACTTCTTTTCCATAATTAAATTATCATTAGGGTGATAACGTGGTTAAGTGTGAACATACTTCAATGTATATAATTCCAGTTATACATGTTATTTTGAGTAGCATTATAAATGGCAACATTTCTTTGTATCCCAAGTCAAATCACTACCTCTTCTTTAACCTTTGAGAAAACAATTATTAGTGATGCTGGTATAATTTTACTAGATGGAGAAGGAAAAAACAGAAATCAATACTTTCATAGCCCCTAATTTTAAGTGGCATAATACACTAGACTGTAACAGTGATTCTCAAGTCACTATAATGATGAAAACAGTGTTTCACAACCCAAAATTACATTTTTCATTATCTAATTAGTTTCCCATTGATTTTGTTCTGCTTATTCCAAGTCAACTGCCATGCATAATCCAAAATAAATTACCAGCTCCACTTTTAAACATCCAACTCACTTTCTAAATATAATGAGATTCCTCCACAGCCTTATGTGATAATAATGATAGTCCACTTCCCTTCCTCTGGGTTGGAGAATGAAGTCCCAATGGAAGCAGGTAGAGGGTGATTTCCCCTTCCAATTCACATTATATATATATATATATAAAATTACCAATATACAAAGCAATATAATAATACAAAGGCAGGATAAAATGCAGACAAATAATACATGCACTCAAACTAGATTTCGAATTATAATAAATGTGAAACCTGGGTAGTAATAATATACTAGCTTTGACAACAGCATCCCATAACTCTGAAAGTCACGCCATATCAGGTGAATGATAGAAGAAAGTGGCGTAGGCATTCATCTAAATTACTCACTAGCAAGTTCTTATTGTATTAACATAAGCATTGAACAATTCTTGGTAGGATGACACATTATTTTAAGTCACAAAACTGAACTAATTTCAAGACGATAGAAACTTAAGTTCAAGAACATACTAATCGACTTAAATCCTTGTTTAAGCTTAATCATATATTCTAAGAGAACCATGTTTTAATAAATTTTATCAACAAGTACACTTTAAAATCAGCACAATTTCAATTTCATATGCTCATACACAAGAAAATAACATCTCACAATCAAGAAGGCTTAGGATATCTCAATGTTATCAACCTAAGCATGCTTCGAGACTTAGGGACTGATTTTCTTACGAAATATTGTTGAAGAATAATAAACCACAGGTCAGAATACCAACTAGAAATGGTTCCTTTCAACTGTAATGCTTGAAGGGTAAATTTTTACTAGTGGTCATTACAAACTAAAATGAGCCTAATACTTTAGAAAATATTTCAAGCTCAAGCTAGAATTAAAGATGCTAAACATGATCTAAGGTTGAATTTAATCTAGCTCATCCCATTCAGTTTAGTATAAAAATCTAAGCTTACAAGCTCAAATCCAATTCAATCTCGATCAGTAACCCAAGATTTATTTTTTAAATTCCTTTTTTTTCCTCGTTTAATTGGAGTTGAGAACGTTTATATCAGAAATCCAACTCACTTGCAAGCTAAGAGAGGCTTTACTGCATTTGTGGATGGAAAGCGTAACAAAATTATAATAACAGTTTCCACATATATTTCAAGTGGTGTCGGCAGAACATGATGACGTCACTAAATTGCTGAAATGAAAATCCGCATATGAGGAAGAAGAAAATTAACTAAAATTTTCTTTCGGATTGATGACAAAGAGGGTGTGATATTTGATGTATTTTTTCTAGAGTATGTAGTTATAATCTGTCAGGTTATGTAAGGTCTAAAATGTGCAAAATAAACGACAAACTATTTCAATTCTTTAAATATGAAAAGTACTTAGCAATCTTATAATCGACCAAACTATCCACAGCATTTATGACTCAATATTTATTTCTGTCATCTAAATGACCGTTGATGG